TCACGCATCAAAAGTCAAGTCTTCTCTATTAATGACCTTTGTCACACAGGACGCCAAGAAAACATGTGACTCACAAAGAATGGGGAAAAGGGAGGTCGTCACAAAGATAAGAGCTGTGATAGAGCCTGTGGCGCCTGGTGGACGTCAGGTGGCCCGAGAGGAATGGCCACAGGGCAAGGAACACGTGCACCTCCCACAGCGGTGAGCTCCTTGCCCACCTCCAAGCACTCGGTTGCCCTGGACTTCCAACTCCATATACTAGCCTCACGGGGTGAGAGGAAAAGTATAAGAAGTGAAAGGAACAGTATTCACAGCATTTGGTCCAAGGAATGGCAAACAACATGGGAAGAAGGGCCTAGAATGATCCTGTCCCTCTCTGGGCCTATCTCCCTGGCAAGTTGTGTCCAAGCTGCGTCAATCACATAGGAGACAAGCTACATCACGATACACCGGGAATGTGATCTCCCTGAGGCATTAGAAATTCCAAGTGGGGCCAGCCAGGGTCCATTTCTACCACCGGGGCGATTCAGGGGCAGAGGAACTCCACGCAGTCACTGGACCGGGAAGGATTCTACAAGGAAGCTTTGCAAGGAGAGAACACGAGAAAGGAGGAATAACAATATGGATGGGATCGCTAGCAGGACTGAGAGTCAATCTGGCAGGGGCACGAACTTGCTGGTCGGCTCGAACAGGATGATCCAGGGCTGTAGCACAAAGCTATGGGTCCTATACAGAATACACATCATGAGGACAGTATGGACTGGCAACATTTTGCCTTCGTCAGTTTTAACTCACATCTGCTCCCCACAACTGCACTGCAACAGGGAAATTCCACAGTCCGTCGGCACTGGGGTGATGACTAAGCCTACTAAGGGATCCCCACATCCAGAATGGGCAACCTTCAGAAGGTTCTCAGAGACTCTTCATGGCAAACATAGGAAGGCGTTTCCATCACAAGAGATGGAAAATAAACAGAAAACTACTGCATATAATATGAGAGAAGTCTGCCTGTGATTTTTAAAACACATCTCTTAAAAGAAGGGAAGGAAGTCTGTCACAATATTAAACTTTGCGGGGCGCCTGGGAGGCTCAGCTGGTTGGGCATCGGCCAGCGGCTCAGGTTATGATCCCAGGGTCCTGGGATCGAGACCCGTGCTGGGCTTTGTGCTCAGCAAGGAGTTTGCTTCTCCCTCTCCCTCTGCTCTCCCCCTGCTCGTGCTCTTACACGCTCTGTCTCTCTCAAATGAATAAACAAACAAAAAAAAAAATCTTTAAAAAAAAGAAGTTAACTTTGCCTTTGAGAGGTACTTTTACTGTTTTCTCATTGCTTCTCTATGTAATCGGGAGTAGGAAGAAAATCACTCTGGCTTAACAGAATGCAAAGTTGCAGTGCAGAGCTTTATAAAGCAAATACTTCTCTTTTAATGTACTTTGTTGTGTAAATCCAGATTTTCCATACATAACATGTATTGAAAACTAGAGTACCAAGGAAATGAAGCAATATCTATATTTGTTTCAATGACTAACAAGCAAAAATAAAACTTCAGCTATGATGCCATGCTTTTTAGAAATCATATAATAAGCCACAGATTTATAGGATGTGGTCTAATAAACCTAAGAAAAGTTTCATTTCCTCCTCACCAAAGTGGTTCACTCCCTGTCTGTGCGACCAGCTTTTTGCAAAGTTAGCAGATGTCTCTTTTTTTTCCTTAAATGTGTAAATTGAGAGATTAATAAGCACCAACAATAATAATGTGCCTGCTGAATACACACACACACATGCTCACTCACTCACTCACTCACTCCTATATCCCTAAATATGAAATGAAATGGGCTCAATGCTAGCAAAATGGTAGGTCATCCAAAACATCAAAAGGGACAGAGCTTGCCATCTTGCTAATCCCCAGCCACTGATGGGGGTGGGGTAGAACTCCTAGAAAGGGGAAAGCAAGGAATGAGGAAAGGAGTCAAAAGAACTTTTCAAAAGACTGCTTCAAGCATTTCTGTGAAAATGGTATTAACACAGCAATTACAGGAAAAAACACTCTTTCTTATCTGAATGCACTTATGCCACGGGTCACACCCTATTATTGTCACTATTAAACATGTTAATAGCCCCAATGTAATGACTTTGTGTGGCTAGCTTTAAAATGCACATGAATAGCTAACTAGAAAAAAGTGACTCATGCCTGCCCAGGTGGATATTGACTTTCTTAGTCATATTGACTCAATTGGTCTACCAACCTTAACTCCCTGGAGGAAAGGGCCCAAGTGATGGGATCCAGCCAGCTTGCAAGGATAGACAGGGAGGGACAATGAAAGTTGAATCCAGCTGGGGTAGAAGGTGTCCTGAATGTCATACTGGTAAAGCAGAAACTTGACTTTCAGTGTCCTGAATCAAAAGCTTCCTCCCAGCCTTTGAGGAGGCAGGGTGTTGAACAGGACCCAACACACCTTCTTTAGCAAGTGGAGGATGGTTAGTACGGAAGGCAAGTGGTTAGTATGAAAGGCTCTGACCCATGGGCTGCTGCCATGGTCCTCAGTAACAGATTTATGGCTACACCCCTGTGCTGTGTGAGCCCGAGCACTTGCTACACCTCCCTGTGGCTCACTTGCAAAAGGGGATCACAGCATCCCCCTCCTCGGATTGGGGTCAGTTTGTGAAGAGTTACTATGAGCCAAGCCCTTCCAGAAGCGCCTGGCTCGCTGTGTGAAAATCTCACTGTGTGAAATCTCACTCTGATGGGCATTTCCAGGCATCCTAGGAGGTGCTCCCCCCACCCCCAGAAGCACGCTGGGCAGCTCCTCCACGCCTATCCCCTTTTACAGACACTGGGAGCGAATCAGGGAGGAGTGAAGCCCCTTTCCAACAGATGTGACGAATGTGAACTCAATCCTACTTCTGACTTCAATCTCATGTGGTTTCCACGATGCTACCCAGAGCCACATCTCACATATCCATGCTGCGGATCAGGGATTTCCCTGTCCCACCACAATTCCTGAAGCAGAAAGTACTACACCTGGTACATCACTAACTATTCTGTGGAAACGTCTACAGCTAAAGCAAGCTGTATAACCGAGTTACCCAAGCAGTGGCTGGCCCATCACACAGTGGCTGGCCCATCACACACACTCTCTGTGTGGGATTCCCCAAGAATCCTGCTGTGTGCTCATGCCAGACACCCGCTCGTCTGGCCAAGCCCCGCTCTGTACACTTCGCCTCACTGTATGCTCACAGCAGCCCACGTGTGATTCCCCTTTGCCAGCAGGGAAACCGAGGCACAGAGCAGCTGGGTAACTTGCCCAAGTTCCCACATAACATGAGCAGTGTCTGTGTGTCTGGCCTAGTCACAGTTTAGGAACTTAGACCCAATCCTGGAAGCAGGGCATACTGGTGCTTCTCCCGAAGATGTTTCCATGTCCTGAAGGCAAAGCTGAGAAGTGAACAGAGTCACCGGCGTCAGGGATCTAAGTGGCGCCTGTGGATCTTGGGTTATAAGGAAGAAACCCGGTCTTCCTGTTTTATTTTCCTCATACTCAGAATGGGTGCCTGGTTCGCCTTTATCTACCTTATAACTCTGACCAAAGATTAATGAGTTACCATTTGCTGTGCCCCGGCAGAGGGAGAGCTGTGTGTGACACGGCCTTATCACCCATGGTCCGAAGAACAGCTACAAGCTAGACCAGGGGGCAGGCAGCTCCTGGGAAAAGGCTTCTCTCGGGCCATGGCTGCTGCACAGAAGAAGGCCTCCCTGGCCCATCACACCCAGACCCATCAAAGGACACGGGCTTTCTGCATTCACGGGCTCCAGGAAATCTGAGTACAGGCACCATCACGGGAGGAAGAAGGAGGGTTTCCAAAGAGACCAGAAACATCTTCCGTATTATTCCCATCTGGCTGAAGAGGGGGCCACAACATAGGAAGATTTCCTCAAGACACCAACACACGAAGTCATTGACCAGAATTCAGACACGGTGTAGTGTGCAGAAGCATCCTTGGGAGTCACATCAAGTGAGAAGAAAATACAAAACTACCGGAAGGTCCAATTCCAATTCTGTGAAATATTTCTAGAGTTTAGACACAGGAATGATGAGAAAGAAACGCATCCAGATATTAAGCCCTAATGCCCAACACAGCACATAGTAGGTACACTACAAATGTTTTCAAAAGGCAGAAGTCTCACTAATTTGGCTCTTAAATATTCATTTTTTTTCCTTTAAAAAAAAAAAAGCTAGCATTAATACTAAATCATCTGCCATTTAAGTCTAAAGAGTTCCTTCAAAATTTTTTTTAACTGTGTTGGCTTTTGCTTTTCTGAGAACGAAAGCATGTTCTACACAGTCTTTATTCTTCGGGACTGCTAATTTGAAGAGAACTGTCACTCCCAAGCATGGAGCAATGTGGGGTATTGACATCATATTGAATTATTTAAAGGAAATTAACAATGCCTCCTGTCCTTGGACAGCCACGTCTGTGAGAAAAGCCATTCACAGCTGCCTCAGGAAGGTACCACTGCAGAGGACTGAGCATTTCTCAGCACCCTGAAGTCTCCAAGAGAAACTGTACGTTCTAAGTAACTAAGAACAAAGGCAAAATTGAGGTAATAACTTCTACTTCCCCCTGGGAGCTGTGTGAAAGGTCCCAGGAAATCATTTCCTGGGGCTCAAGTTTAACAGGATGACATACTGTTCATCCTTCTCACACACAGAAGCTACCCATGACACTGGACCACATGTGGGCTTTCCAGGGAACCAGGCACCTGGGGATCACAGGGGCACCACCCTCCACCCTCTCCTCATAAACCAGCATTCTTATGGTGATGATAAACCTATTAGTGATCACAATACCCAGACATCATGGCACCCGACATGACAGCTACCTGACAGGAATTCAGGGGCCATGGCGCATGGGCCCTGCCCTAGCACGAGGTAAACTTTGGATGGGTGGTTTCATTTCAGAGCTAGCTCATCTCATACCGTCATTCTGCTCCGAGACCTACCTCCAAACACCAGGGCTCCCCAACCTTGTGTAAGGAGTGGCTCCTTTTCATGTCCCTGAAGACTTGAGTGCTGACAGTGAAGTCTGAGGGGGGGTAGAAGTGCTGACAGTCATGTCCCTGAGTGCAGCAAGGGAGGGGGCACTGCTGCCAGGAAGAAAGGGGAACAGAGTGAGGCTTGGGAGGGAGGGGGACGCAGTCACCAAGGCATTCATGGCCCCCAGTCTGACTTTCTTCCCTGACTCCACGCTTCTCTACAAACTCCAATCAAGGAGGACGATGGATTCCAATGTGACCCCAGGACACTTCCACCTCCCTGCCTTCCAGCTCGGGGCCCCCTCTAGCAACATCTTAAACACAGCCTCCTCTATGCAGTGTTTCTGCTGCAGCCCTGCCCTCTGTCCCCACCTCTGCCCATCCTTCCCACAGCAGACTCAGCCGCTGATGGCTCTGAGCCTCCAGTGAGTCAGCTGGCCAGCATTCCCTCTCTCTCTCAACTTACCTTCCTGAATCTTCTATGAATTTAAGCCCTGTGATACTGTTGGTATTTCTACCCTACAAAAATCCAATCACAAATGGTTCAACCCAATTCTAGAGCTATTTGGGGACCTGTCTAGTCACCTTCCCCTCCACTGGACTACCATTTTTCAGAGAGGTGACTACACTTCCAACCCGGGACCCCTGGAAACATCTGACTGCACACACCTTTAGTGTGCAAGAAGCAGGAGCCGTACTGAATTTCAGCACAGCTGGGGCTCGAGCACACCCATGGCTTCGGTTCACTGCCTGCCTACTCTGCTTGGGGCTTTCGACGGGAACGTGCGTGTTGTTCCGCAGCTCCTCACAACCACCCTGTGAGGTAGGTATGTGCCCATTTTACAGAGGAGGAAACTGACTCAGAGACGTTAAGGAGCATGCCCAAGGTCACACAGCGAGTAAATGGCAGACGGGGAATATGGACCAGGTCTCAGTCAACTCACGGTGCTGCTGTGTAGACTCGGTTGCCCGTCCAGATGTTGACTACTGCACTACCAATAGGATAGAGAATTTAGGGGCATAGAGAGAGACCTGGGATCCAAGAGGGGCTATTTCACAACAAAGAAATATCATTCTAATTGTCTTTTAGAAAAGAAAATGTCTGTGTCCTTTGTATGGATGTATGACTTCTTTACTCTAGTTTTTAAAGGGTTTATATGAGGAAAAAAATGCCATGAATAAATTCTTCACCCTTTTTAATCCCAAATAACAGAACTCAGGATTAAGAATATGAGATGGAGCACAAAATTATCTTGTGTTCTGATATTCACCCAAGAGCAGCAGAATGAGCACAGTGGGTGTAAATACTCTGGGAGATAGGAAATCGATGGGAATAAAGGACAAATCCTACAAAACAGCAACCACATTTCCAGAACAATCTACACGGTTACCATTATTACCTGGTCCTCCCATGGTGGTGGGTGATGGGGGTATCAGGGTGGTGTTCAAAAGCCACATGAACTCCCAAAGTGGGAAGGGGCCATGTGGCCAGCAAAATGGGGCTACCCCAGGGCCCTAGCTGGCCGTAGCTGTCCCTGTCTGGACTTGGAAAGCCACCATTGCTGGAAGCCAGAGGTCTGCCCCTAGAAAGGGCAGCCCAAGCCCTCAGAGGAAGCCCTGGTTGCCCATGGCCAGAGGTCTCTGGTCTCCGGCTGGGAAACAGAACCTCCCACTCTACATTTCTCCACAGCGCTCACTTGTAAACAGGAATGTGAGTCATTAAGCAAGCAGAAGTCCATTTTCTAGATCAGCCCAGCTTTACCACTAAGGTAATCCTATTCTGCCTTGTCACAGTGGTGACTCACCTTACTGTCTCCCACCAGAGGTGACATGGTTTAAACTTCCAGTTGTTCCTGGATGGAACCCAGCAATACGGGGGTTTAAGTCCCTGTCTATTTGCTTTGTTTTCTAGCACAGTGCTGAAAGCAAAGAGGCAAGGCTCCCAAGGGCAAGAGCCCCAGAGGAGTTTGGAGAAGAAATATATCTAAGGTTACCAGAGACCACAGCATCTTTATTATCTTCCCATGGCCTTTCCTCGGGGTCTATACTCCCAGAGGGGCCTGTGGCTTGTGAGGATAAGAAGCGCGCACACACCCCCTACAATCTAAGATCCAGATAGAGGAATCTCAGAACCAAATCTGCACGTCACTTCAACCAATTCTGTAGGAGCTCCCAGTTTTGAGATGTGTGAGATTACCCTTATCCTCATCTCCTCTTCTGGGCCTACCCTGCTTTTCTTTTTTTCTTTCTTCTCATTTCTTTAAATATCCATTTCCAATCTTTGTGCATAATGTGAAGTCCTCTAAGCCACCTCAAAGTTTGGAGGGTAAAAGATGCCTTCTAAACAAGTTCAAATGTATCTGCAAATATGAAATAATTCTGCAATGGGAAAGAATTGTAGCAGAGTCTCGCCTGATAAATACAAAACTCTCCAATGGATCTTAAAGATTGAAAAGCAGACATCCACTGAGTTTCCTGCTCAACATCCATTTGTGCTTTTTCTGGTAGTAGTACCTTGAATCGTTTAGGGGGTACCACAGAACCCTCAAGCCATGTCGTTTACGTGGAATGGACCCCTCAGTCCAACTGTACTCAGAGTATTACATCCCCTGACCACAACCACTGGTTCAGAATTATGGGGGGAGAGAAGATCTCTCTGGACTTCAACCTGCTTTCATGAGGAGACATCAACCCAGAGCCAAGGAGAGAAATGGTGTCCTGGTAAATGGGCCCCTGGATCCAGCCATGCCTGATGCAGGTCACCTGTGCAATTTTAGCCAATACACTCATTTTGCTCAGGCCAATTTGGGTTGGGTTTGAGGAGAAAGAGAGAGAGGCATCCTGACTAGAGTAGGCTAGTCACCTAAGCCAGGCTGACCTCAATAACTGCCCATCCACGAATCAAGAGGTAATGTGGAAAGAACTAGAGACACTCCAGGAAAAGTAAATGAAGGCCTCATAGTTTCATGCTCCTGGCACAATGGGGGGTTGTTATAAGGCAGTATTATGGAGTAGGCACCTGGTACTTTTTGAAAGAAGAATGACTGTGGCTTGCAACTACTGTCTGGGACAGGGAACAGGACCCTGAGCAACATCTGCAGGAATTGACATTCGGTCCTCCTGCTCCTCTAGCACCGCTGACACCACTGGCCACACTGACCAACTTTACGATGTGGTCTCCAGAAGGCAGGAGACACAAATACTTAGTAGCACCAAATCTGCCTCCTAGCCTTCTCCAGATACACCACCTGTTTGTGACAGAGGACTTGGAGAGAGGCATTTCGCCAGGGGAAGGCAAAGGTCTGAAGCCGAGGCATGTCTGGAGAGAAAGCGGACAGAGCGCGTGGCGGGTCTCATTCTCCCCAGTGACTCAGCACCTGATGACACAGTGTGCTGACCAGTTCTGGGCACAGCCACACAGATCAAGAAGCAAGATGTGTCACCAAAAAAGTTGTGGCAATATTTGTGTACTCTACTATTTTGTTTCTTTCTGAGCTTAAAGCCCCCTTCAGCAAGTGGCTGGGCAGTATTCAAATATTAAATACAGTAGAATGGAACCCCATGGGCCAGAAAGTACAATTTGCTTCATGCAGGAAAAATAAAAGAAAGGAGTATAGAAGGAGGAGGTGAAAGCACTGAAGAAACAAAAACCCTAAAAAAATACTAAAGGCTCCAGAGACAAAGACAGTGTATGAAATAATGTTATTCAAACCCAATTTGGCCAACAGCTATTGGCTGTCGGGAGAATTCTGAGCCTACCTCTAGACAGAAAAAAAAGAAGTTTCCAATTTTGTCTCAGAAAAAAGTTTGATGTGAAGAGAAAAAAAAAAAAAATGTTTGATGTGATGGTTAATTTTATGTGTCGACCTGACTGTGCCACAGGGTGCCCAGATATTTGGTCAAACGTTATTCCGAGTATTTTTGGACAAGTTCAACATTGAAACTGACAGACTAGTGGTGCCTGGGTGGCTCAGGCATCTGACTCTCGATCTCGGCTCAGGTCATGATCTCAGGGTGGTGGGATTGAGCCCCATATCAGGCTCCTTTCTGAGTGTGGATGGAACCTGCTTGAGATTCTCTCTCCCCTTCTCTCTTTGCCCCTCCCCCTCCCTCTCTATAAAACAAAAAACAAACAAACCCTGGCAGACTTGATAAAACTGATGCCCTCTCATGTGGGTGGGCCTCACCCAATCTGTTGAAGGCTGATCCTCCCCGCCAAGAGGAGAGACAACTCCTGCGGGCCGGCTGCCTTCAAGTGGAGCACTGGTTTTTCTACGCCCTCAGACTCAAACTGCAATGTTGGCTCTTCCAGGGTCTTCAAGCCTGGCAGTCTTTGGACATGACCTCCACCATCAGCTCTCTTGGCTCCCAGGCCTTCAAATGCATACTGAACTACATCACAAGCTCTCTCGTATCTCTAGCTTGCCTCCTGCAGCTCTTGGGACTTGCCGGTCTTCAACATGGTGTGAGCCAATTTCTCACAATAAATCTCATTACACACGCACACACATACAAACATACCACTGGTTCTGTTTCTCTAGGAAACCCTGACTAATACATTTGGGTTATGTTTTTTATGTGTTTTCTCCCCCAAGCAAGAAGGAAAGGATTATTTGGGGGTCTCCAAAAGAAATGAGAATTGTGAAATAATGGGTCTTATAAATCACATAATCAAATTCTTTATCATTTTTATTTTAAATCTCTAGGTCTAGACATAAAAGGACCTAGCCAGGATTACACAGAAAAGAAGAAAGCAAAACCCAGACTTTAAAAATGAGGAGTTCAGGGTTCTATGTATAACATGGAAGAATTTTATTTTGAAACTACAACATCTTTGGAGGAATTAGAAATCCATTTGAGGGGCACCTGGGTGACTCAGTTGGTTAGCATATGCCTTTGGCTCAGGTTATGATCTTGGAGTCCAGGGATCAAGTCCCGCATCGGGCTCCCTGCTCAGTGGGAAGTCTGTTTTCCCTCTCCCTCTGCCCCTCCCTCTGCTCGTGTTCTCTCTCTCTCTCTCCCCCCATTTCCCCCCCCCCAAATAAATAAATCAAATCTTTAATTTAAAAAAAAAGAGAAACCCATTTGAGAAAAAGGCACTGGGAAGAGCC